TTTTTTTTTTTTTTTTTTTTTTTTACAAAAAGAACCAACTAATATAAGGTGTCTTTAACACAAAAGACCAAAAACCAGTAAGTCATCTGCAGAAACCTTTTGACTTCTGGACACACTAATCAGATTTATCTTTGCATTGCTGAAGCTTGTGAAAGTCACCTAAGGACAACACCACAGAAGATTTAAATCAGCCTCAACTTAACAACCTGCTCCCCGTGTTTCGTCTTCCTGACTGGATAACAGATGATTCACAGCCTGTAAATCATCTGGGAGCAAAATAAACCTTAAATCACCGCCTGCGCAGACTGACTGCTGTTCAGGAAAATAATCTTACTTTYAAATGTACTTTACTCTGAACTCTCTTCTTCTGTTGAACTTTATAAGTTCTACATTTATTTAAGACATAAATATAAAAAGTAGGTTCAGCTTTCACACATTTTATTAAATAATTCTTCCGTTTTGAACCGTGTTTTGGTTTGTTTTGCTGTTGTTTGTTAAAAATGCAAACTACAATTTTCTGACTGCTACACAAACCAAACGTTTTATTTAAAGTAAAACTAAACGTGCACAGTAAAATTGTCAATTAAAAGCAAGACCTTTGGTTATTTAAAGTAACCAAGGCAAAAGTGAAAACTATTTCAATCTACGAAAAAGAATTAGGGTGGTTTTATATAAACTGTTGAATTATTACTTTAATGTTTAAAGTACCGTCAGTTTCTACATGAAGCATGATGTCATGCCCCTAAAACAAGGAAGTTGGTTATAGAAACAAACACAACAACTAAGAAGACTTGTTGATTTTTTTAAAGTAAATGACTGCAATCACTCACAATACTGTATATAAAATATAAGATTGTATCTAAAATTCAGCTTATCAACAACAAAATATCCAACAGCAGGTAAGATAGTGCTTGTTCAGAACTTTTGCACAGAACTTTATTTTAAAACCTGGGGGCTTCGCTCAGTGTTTTTATTTATTTATTTTTGGTTTGCACTTGAATTGAACAACAAATCCTTTTTTAAAAATGGTTCAATTTTCTAGAATACTTATACCGTTACTGCTTTTGTCCTGGGGGGCCGGGGGATTTTGGTGGGAGCGCACAGTCAAAAAAAGGATCCTGACTGAAGCAGTTTAAGGGAATTAAAACTTCATCGTATTGATCTAATTCTTCTGAAACATTTCATGTTTTCTGTTTTTCTGTTGTGGAAACATCTGGGCAGCCGAGGAACCAGCTGTTGTCACTCTTACATTTTTTTTTTTTTTTGTGTGCAGAAGTTACCATCATCTCCTGTCAATAACAGTTCTCAGYCTCACCTGCGTCTGCGTGAGGCCCAGCTGCGCAGCCAGCTCGGCCCGCTCCGGCAGGGCCAGGTACTGGGCCGTCTGGAACCTCCTCTGCAGGACCGCCAGCTGGTAGCTGGAGTAGATGGTCCGGGGTTTACGCACCTTCTTAGGCTTCCCGTTGACCAACCGAACCTCCAGGTCCGGTTCCTCTTTCACTGGAACGAAGGAGAGAAACAAACAAACAACATAATAATAATAATCACGCTAATCTGTCTTCACTCGGTCAGATGTTTTTACAGCAGCTCTGCAGCAGAGTCACAGCCCAGAAGTTGTTGCACAAAAATAGCCACAACCCAGAACTTTCAAAGAAATTCCAGCAGCTCGCTGAACTTATAATTTAACTTCAGAGTCTCCCACAGCCGGGGAGGGAGACAGAGATTTATGGGTTCTTCTCCTCAGGACTTACTGTTGTACCTCATGCTTCCTGTCAGCATCTTACTTTTTGTTTTTGTTTGTTCTGAAAGTTAACATTTATTTAACATTCTTACCTACATTAAAAAAACTATATAACATATTTATTTTTAAAAAGTTATGGTTCCACCCAACTGAAATGAGTAAAGGTTTACATTTACTTTATTTTAAACTAAATGTAAAGTAAATGTGTTACCTTTACTCAGTTCAGTTGAAAGAAAACAGTTTTCTTTTTTTAAATTAAATCCATTATATTTGTTATTTGAGTATATATATATATATATATATATATATATATTAAAATCTAGTAGATCTTAGGGTCTAGAGTCCAAAATGCAGGGTTAGTCTAAACATAAATCAAACATAGAAAACATTTGAAGAGTCTGGAGGCTGAAAAGATCCTGATCCACTTGTGTTATTTCTATCCAGTTATTTGTATATTTATAACTAACTAGATTATCTCAAGCTAATGATGTAATTAGCTTTTGAGGTTAAAGAAAGAAAACACATCATGATCAGAAAAGGGGCTGTTGTCAGTTTTCAGACCTGACTCACCACCTGGTTTAACATCCAGTTGAAAAGTCTGACACGTCCAACAATTTTAAGTTCAGACAAAAGAACTGGGATAAAAGAGAAACTGTCAAAGTAAAACCACTGAAAGACCTTAATTTAACCTCAAAATCTAAAAGTTTCATAAAAGAACCAAACATTGTAAAGAAATGTCTGCGCTGTTTTTATTTCCAAGCTTTTTGACAGAAGCGAAAACAGTTGGTTTATGTTGGAGAGTAAGATGTGAGTGTAATCTGTATCTGGGTTCTCGTTGGCAGCGTTGTTTGTTTGTTTGTTTGTTTGTTTGTTTGTTTGTTTGTTTGTTTGTTTGTTTGTTTGTTTGTTTGTTTGTTTGTTTGTTTGTTTGTTTGTTNTGTTTGTTTGTTTGTTTGTTTGTTTGTTTGTTTGTTTGTTTGTTTGTTTGTTTGTTTGTTTGTTTGTTTGTTTGTTTGTTTGTTTGTTTGTTTGGGCGCGGGCAGCAGCCCTCTCGTGATAAGGAACCATCGGTGATGGATGATTCAAAAGGCCGAGGCGGGTCGACATGTCGTGACACCTGATGTTCCGTGGCTGCGGGCCAGACTTCCCTGGGGCCAGTGTCAGGAGTCATCTCCTGAATGGAATGCTAGCAACACAACACCAGCCGGTCGGGTTTGTTCTGCCTCTGCACTTACCCTGCAGAACTCCACAAGACTACGAGTTCCACTCCAACACTTTCAACCTTCATGAGTTGTTAAAACACACGAAGAAGCTTTGGTGCTTTTTTCTACTCAACATCTGTACTGATCAACAGCAGGTGCTGTAAACTGAAATATATGTTAAAATCTCTAACTGGACAGATGTCAGCGTTATTAGTATTTAATAATAACTGTTGTTATTGTTGTCGGTGAGCCCTGACCTGGTGACAAGCCTCAACAGAAGCATCAGTTCAATGATTTCTCAGCTGCATCGTCACAAACTGGTCTCTGTTACAGATATTTGTACTCAGCAGAGCAGACTCTTTATATATTTATTTTTAACTGACGTTTTACTTGAACATTTTTACCAGAGGTATCAAGTAATAAAGTACAAATACTTTTCTTAACTGAAGAAGTAGTTTTGGTTATTTATAGTTCACTGGAGTAAAATTGTTTTGGCCAACTTTCTTACATTTTCGTGCAACTATCTGTGCTTTCTACTCCTTACGTTTTGAAAATACAAAAAGTATTTCATTTTTATTTCACTTTGGCTCGTTTTTATTACGGCTTTTCATTGTTCAGGAAGAAAATAACATCTATTTAGTTATTTGGCACCTCCTGAACAGAGTGAATTTAATTGTGGTTGAACGAGAAGTATTAACATGTATCATTCCGACACGCTATTTGTTAGTATGATCCATCATACCTGTACATGACACCGTCACATCACCAGCAGGACATGTCAGGTGTGTGCAACCTGTGTGAAGATGAGAGTGGCAGAGGTGGAGCTGAAAGGTGCCGCGGGCACCGAACTGGGGGGAGGTACCAGTGAGAACAGCACATAACTGGGTCTGCTCAGTGGTTGTAAAAATATGAATTTATTATCTGTTAAATAAAAATTACAAAAAAAGTCCAACTATTTACCTCATTTTTTTATATTATCTTGATAAATACTGAAGTAGTCTTTGGGAGAGGTGGGGCAAAGGGAGGGATTGTTTGTGGATGGGGGGCTGGCCTGGAAATAAGAAAGTGGGGCTTTGAGGAAAATATGTTAGCCTACATCCCACGAGTCTATTTTAATTTATAGTTATTAATGACTTTAGAAAAAACAGGTTATTTGGGGGGAAGTTTCTTTCTTAATGTCTTTCCCCTTACTTTTACTTTTATACTAAAACCAGTACTTTTACACTTTTATTGAGTAAAAATCTTGAGTTGCCTCTACTTCAAAAAAAAATTAAATCTAATATGAATGTGAATACTTTTGACTCCTCTGAGTTTTACAAACTGATGACTGAGAGAAAAGAGTTTCCTGATTCCAAACATTTCACTTTCTTCTTAACCTGAATAAATGATTAAGTCACACTGACTCCAACAGTTAGGCTAATCAGTTGTTGATTAAAATGTTTATTTCTAGTAATAGCTATCACATCCAACACTGTAAAAAATGAAATGTTGGATTTACTTAACCATGTTATGTGACCTGGTTCCACTTAACTGAGTTGAGTAAATTCAAAGTAATATACCAGTTTTTTAACCAAAGAACATGAGTATGTTGCTTTGAATTTA